TTGATAACTTTTGTTAGCTTTTGCTCCATGAGTTGTTTTGTTTTGTTTTGTTTTGTTTTGTTTTGAGACCAGGTTTCTCTGAGTAACAGCCTTTCCCGACTGTCTTGGAACTCTCTCTGTAGACCAATCTGACCTCAAACTAAGGAATCCACCTGTCTCTGCCTTCTGAGTGTCGGGGTTAAAGATGTGCACCACCATGACTGATCTTGCTTACTGTTTGTTTGGTTGTTTTTTTGAGACTGGGTTTCTCTGTCCTAGAACTCCCTTTGTAGACCAAGCTGGCGTTGCACTCAAGAGTGGGGTTAAAGCCGTGAGCCACCATGCAGGCTTTGTTTCTTTAATGCCCATTTGCTTTTGGTAAAATATTCGTGACATGAATTGCCATTGCCACCAGGTTTAGTATAGTTTAGTGAAATTAAGTTTTTACATTAGTTTACAGCCATTGCCACCTTCAATTTCTGAACTTTTTAATCTTCCCAAGTTGAAACTAGACCTATTCAGGTGGGTGGTGGTGACACACGCCTTTAGTCCCAACACTCAGTGGGTAGAGGCAGGTGGATTTCTGTGACTTTGAGACCAGCCTTATCTACAAGAGCTAGTTCCAGGACAGCCTCCAAAGCCAGGGAAAAACCCTGTCTCAAAAAAACCAAAAAAAGAAAAAGAAAAAGAAACTAGACCTATTCAAAATAATAGCTTCCCAGTCTCCATCTCTCCCAACGCCTAGAAGCCACACTTCTATTTTTTTTTTTTTTTTTTGCAGAGGGGAAAGTACAAAAAAATCAGTTTTTATTATGAAATCTGTAAGAGCCACTCGCTTCCAATTTGAAACCATCTTCCTCATGAATCATTTCCTGCATTCTCCCCAGCTGTGCAGGAGGATGAGCATCCCAGCCTCCCTGCTACAGCTCCAGTTGCAGGAAGTGAGAGGAACAAGTGTCCTGATCTCACTGTACTCACTGCATTTATTTCATATTTCACCTAACCAAGGGTGCACCCTGCATGTGCTGTCTTTCTCAAGTGACTGGAGTTCAGTTTGCAGAAAAAAACAGGGGGAGTCGATGAAAGGTAATCCAGCCAATGCGTATCTTAAGTTTTCCTCTGGTTCTCTTTGGAGTCACATGTTGCTTTATTTATCGTGCTAAATTATTTTGGTTTTGTGATATGTTTGGAGATTAAAGCAACATTAAAAGCCACACTTCTATTTTATCTCTGATTCTGACTATTGCAGGTGCCCTGTCTAAGTGGGTTTGTGCAGGGTTGCTCCTTGGTGTCAGGCTTATTTCATTTAGCATGATGTCCTCAAGATTCACTCATATTGTCAAATCTCTGTATGTATATGCTTGTGATAGAAACAGGTTTCATGCAACCAGGCTGGCCTCAAAAATCACTATGTAGCTGAGGGTAGTCTTAAACTTCTCAGATTCCTACCTCCCAAATTCTGGGAATACAGGAATATGCCACTACATCCTGCTTTTCTTTTCTTCTTCTTTTTTTAAAGCCTAATAGTTGGCTGTTTCGTATCTGCACATTTTTCTGTTTACTTACCTGGCAGTGGGCTCTTGGATCGTCTCTGCTGTTTGTGAATGCGCCAGCATTATTCTAAATAACACTGCTGTCAACAAGGGTGTTCAACGCCCTATTTTCAGGCTTTTGTATAGATACCCAGACATGGAATTACTGGCTCATTGTAGTAATTCTGTTTCATTTTTTTTTAAAGCAACCATAATTGTTTCTACAGCAGCTGCATTGCCACCAGCCATGTACAAAAGTTCCAATTTCATGACCATTTGACGTGATGAGGCGCCATGTACATTCGTATCTGATAATTACCAGTGGAGGCTCTCATGTGGGGGTTGGTATAGCCTGGTCCCACCTTACCAGGTGGAGGCACACTGAGCCCTTTGCTTCTCAGAACTCACAGGCCAGTCTGCTTCCTGCAGCCCTGGCTTTTAGTCACATGGTATCCCAGTGAGGCACCAGAGACTTCAATAAGCCCCTACTTATAGAATATTGGGATTTGAAAAAAATTAAAATAAATACTACTGTCTATGCTTTTGCCAAAGGATTTTTTCCCAAATACAAGATGATTATTTTATGGCGAGCTCCCAGAACTAGGACTGCTACTGTAAGTAATAGCTGATGTGGCACAAAAGACTTTCAGCAGGGCACTTGAAAGCCTGGTAGCCCGAGTTTGCTCTCCTGGATCTACGTGGTGGAAGGAGAGAACAGGCTCCGGCAGCTTGTTCTGTGATGGCCACGTTTGTCCAGGGCATGAGGTCCCCACACCCATCACAGGTGCACACACATAGTGAATACATCTTTTTTATTGTTTTTTCAGACAGGGTTTCTCTGTGTAGCTCTGACTATGGAGCTTTCTCTGCAGACCAGGTGGCCTTGAACTCATAGAAATCCACCAGTCTCTGCCTCAAGTACTGTGATTAAAGACCTGCACCACCACCGCCCGGCTTGTGAATAAATCTTAAAAAAAAAAGTCATGCCTAGACAGGACTTTCTATGAAGGACACTTCCAGGACTAGAGCTTGCCCTGGCTGAGTCTGTGAAGGCCCAGGTCATTACGGTGTACAGGACATTACAATGTACTATCCTAGCCTTTGTAAACACCAACATATAGGCTACACTTAATTTCCAAAAACCATTTTCTTCAATAATTAATTTACCTTAAATCACTATAACATTTTTACTTCATACACTTTTTGGGGGGCATATGTATGTAGTGTGGGTGTGTAAGTTTGTGAGCTGGGGAACATGAATGTGTGTGTGTGTGTGTGTGTATACATGTCTCATTGTTCTCACGTGTCATCTTAGAAGGCATGGAAGACAGCTGTTCGCTTGGAGAGAAGCCTTTGTATAAAGTGGTCCAGGCCAAGCCAAGCCCCTTCGGGGAACTTTAAACACAGAACGATCTTGTTGCTTGGCTGTTATTGCCTGGATAGCCTGCTTTGAAAAAGAACCCTGACAGGCCCAGGTCTTGTGTTTATCCTAAGGCTGGGCCATTCCAAACTCATGTTTCAGAGTGTTGAGGTTGTGTCCAGCCATCCTGGTGGGTGGTAATCAAACCCAGGTGGGAACCATCTGGCTGACTCTGCCCCTCCTCCTTAGCCAAGTGCGAGCTGGCCTGCCCACCACAGAGCTGGCTTAGAAAGCACCCTGTGTGGAGACAGATGGTGTGCACATGTATGTGTGCATGAATGCACACTCAGGCTTGTGTGTGCATAGAGCTCTCATTGAGGAGATGTGGTGTGAGTGTAAATGGTTCAGTGGCTTCTCTCTGCACCCATGAATTCTCACCATTGTGCAGCCTATAATGCATATATTCCTTTTAGTCTGTTTCTCAAGTTTTTGTGGTTAGAAATCATGTATTTTCCTTGGCCCAAGATGAAAGCTCTGGAATAATGGTCTAATGCACTTTACAAAGCTGTCTCTAATTGGAGGCTGCCTAAGATCTTCCTTTTGCCCTAGTGACCCATCTCCTTGTGTGGAGTTTTGTTCAGTTGTTGATTTTTGGGACAGGGTTTCTCTGTGTAGCCCTGGTTAACCTAGAACTCACTGTGTAAACCAGCTGGCCTCCATCTTCCTTGCCTCTGCTTCTCCAGTGCTAGGATTAAGGGCTGCTCACTACCATGCTGCAGCCTTTTACAGAGCTTTCAAGTCAGTCTCACAGAGCTCTGGATTTTAACACTCTTCCGAACCCAAGGCCTCTGACTCTGTTCAGACTTGACCCCTCCAGGACAATCATCAAGGAAACAAAAAGTGTCACTTTAAGCAGCTTTTAGCCTTGTCTCCAAGAATCCATGTATACCTCTAAGTAGATTCTGCTTCCCACGTGGTAACCAGAAAAATAAGCAAACCATGTGCACTTCCTTAAATACAGTTGGAGTTGATGTGATGATTTCTAAGGGTGCATTTTCAGTCGGAAAGAAATCGAGTGCAGCTTCTCAGAGGTGCTCTCTCCTGGAGTGGTGCCTGGGGGCTGACATGCCAGGCCTATCCAAGCATACACGTTTCTTTCTGCCCAGTCCCCCATCCTTGCCTCCTGAGGTGATGACAAAAGAAGACGCTGGAGGAATCCAGGGAGGAACACTGTCTGTGTCTTTGCTCTCAAAAGGTAGAAGGAAGGTGTTGGCTGTCATTTTAGTTTATGGTTTGTGTTTGTATGCTGGGGAGTTTACATGTGTATAATCATTGTGGTTCATGTTTGTACAAGATATAATTACTGAAAATTACATGATGAACATATTTTACCTCTTAACCCTTCTTTCTCATTCTCACAAGCTTTGTGGAGCTTTTGGGGACTCCTCCTTGTACACCTCTCTCATCTGAATAGGTGTGGCACCCCCACCCCCACCACCAGGTTCTGCTCTTGAATAGACCTCAATACCCTCTCTGGTAGGAATCTGTTTCAGGGACTTCCCTGAGACTCACGCTGTTCTCCTTTGGAGTTCAGTGACTGAGGAATGCTCACAGAGGGTTAGAGACGGTGGAGCTTGCTAGTATGTGTGGGTGACTTTAGGAAGAGTATTTTCAGGCTGCCTTGGGACCTGTCTACAGTGAGAACTCAGGAGGCCAGTCTGCAGCTAGGAATGGTGTCTCTGGAGGGGGTGTGGAAGAAGGCCATGTCTTCCCAGAGCACACAGCCACACTGTCGGATCATAGGACATATGTAACCTCAGCAATTGAGTGGGTACTTATTAGCAGTTTGAATAAGTGAGGAACATTTTCGTTTCTTCAATATATAAAAGGAATGTCCTAGAACCACAAAATCTGGAACTTGTAACTCAAGAGTACCAGTGTAGGAGTTTGCCTGGGCTGACCTCATTCATGTACACCCTCAGCTCACTGGAGGGTAAAGCAGGCTTTGGGAGACTTCTTTATCCTGGCATTCCCTTTGAATCCAGGATGTATTGTGGAACCCACCACTCACAGACTTGGTAGGACTTTGTCCTATGATAGTTAAATTGAAAATGTTTGATTCCTTTCAGGTTTACAGGAACAGACGGACCAAGCGGTTTTGGCTTTGAGTTGACATTTCGTCTGAAGAGAGAAACTGGAGAGTCTGCCCCACCAACATGGCCAGCGGAGCTGATGCAGGGCCTGGCTCGATATGTCTTCCAGTCAGGTAATAGGCCAGAGGCTGGCTGGTGTGCTGGTCTTGTGGCCATCAGCCTGGTGGGCTTTGGGAACTTGCAGGTGCATTTTGATATCTACAGAATCTTTTTGTGGGTAGGAAACTATGGACCTTAGCAGAGACTGTGCCAGTGTCCCAATACCCTAAGGCTTTGTTGCTGTCTGTCTAGCCTGTTCTCTGCTCCCAGTGGCCAGGCTGTCTGTGTTTCCAGGCCTCAAGCACATAGGCTAATATTGGCTCAGCCTGGGAGAATAACAGACTAGAACTGGTTCCCTTCCCTCACAGGATAGAGGGATGCTAAAATCAGAACTGAGTTAGATTTTTCAAATGCCTTCCAAGAGATTGTCCTTTGCTCCTAGTGCCCACTAGGGACTGCTGCAATGGATCTTGGGTAAGGCCTTTGTGCTGAGAATATTGTTCTTACTTTCTTAGCTCATTCTGCCAGCATCCTCCATCCTGTGAAAGCTTCATAACTCTGGAATATTTCTCTGTGGCTAGTGTTCAGAGAGTTCCAAGTATTTGCGTGACCTAGATTTTTATATCTTAGATTTGGTATGTGGCCTCTTTCCCCCCCCCTTTCTTCCCCCCCCCATCCTTTCCTCACTATACATAATGGCCTTGACCAGTGTGAAACTCCACTTTTCATAGCCTCCAAGTGCCAGGATTACAGGTTCACACCTACACCTAGGTGAGGGAGGAGGGGGAGAGTGCATGACATAGGGATTGAATCTGGGGTCTTGTACATAAAGGCAAGTGCTCAGAAACTGACCTATATCCAGCATACTTTCTTTTTTATTTTGAGACAGGGTCTCATTAAGTTGTCCAAGCTAGCTGGGAGGTGGTGGTATACACCTTTAACCCCAGCACTCGGGAGTCAGAAACTGGTGGATTTCAGTGAGTTCAAGACCAATCTGATCTACAAAGTGAGTTCCAGGACAACCAGGACTATTACACAGAGAAAACCTGTCTCCAAAACAAGACAAAAATAAAAAAAGTTGTCCAACCTTGAACTCACACTTTAGCCCTATTGCAGGCCTGAGCCACCAGTTCTAACTTTGAAAATAGATTTTTCTTTGATGTAGAATTTGATCTGCTATGGGAATGAGGGCTCTACAGATGAGGTGCACTCCACTGCTTGTTAATGTATTCATTTTGTACCTGCTTAGGTAGATAGATAAGGGAAGTGTAAAATAAATGTTACAAAATACTAGTAATTAAGCCGGGCGTTGGTGGTGCACGCCTTTAATCCCAGCACTCAGGAGGCAGAGGCAGGCGGATCTCTGTGAGTTCGAGGCCAGCCTGGTCTACAGAGTGAGTTCCAGGACAGCCTCCAAAACAATACAGAGAAACCCTGTCTCGAAAAACAAAAAAAAAAAAAACAAAAAAAAAAACCTAGTAATTTCTAATGGGAAGTGATTTTGACATTATAATACAAATCAAATTTGCGAAACTCATTGACATACAGAATAAATCTTACTAGTGACTATTTTATTTTGCCGTTTTTTGGGAGGCAGGGGGTACAGAGTCTTTATACATAACCCGAGCTGTCCTTGAACTCTGAATCCTTCTTAACTGGTTAAAAGGATGTCGGGGGACTGGGGAAATGGCTCAATAGGTAAAGGTGCTTGCTACCACCCTGACCACTTGAGTTTGATTCCTGGGACCCATGTGATAGAAGGAGAGAACCAACTCCTTCAAGTTGCCCTCTGACCTCCACATGTATGCCAGGGCACATGTGCCCACACATGTATATACACAAATAAGTATAATTAAAAAAAAAGATTGGGGAGTGGGTAAGATGGCTCTGGGGTAAAGTGCTTGCTGCCAAGCCTGAGTTTGATCCCTGGAGCCCAGACGGTGGAGAGAACCAGCTCCCTCAAACTGTTCTCTGACCTCTATATGTGTGCCGTGGCATGCACCTTCATTCTCAGTGAACAAAGTGTTTAAAAAAAAAAGTTGGCTGGGTAGTGGTGTCGCACAAATCAATCTACAGATTACTTACTTATTGATGAGAGGCTGCTCTTCCAGAGGACCTGAGTCCAGTTCCCAGCACACACATACCTCCTGTAACTCAAAGTTCCGGGGGATCCAACTCCCTTTTCTAGCCTCCATGGGCTTCGAGAACTCATGGGTGTATAGATAAACATGCAGGCAAAATACTAATGCACATAAAGCAAAAATAAATAAGAGAGAGAGAGAGAGGAGAGAGAGGAAGAGAGATATAAGAGAGATATAAGAGAGACTACCCTGACAGGAAGGTCCGAGCAGATGTCTCCTTAGCCCAGGACCAAGTTCCAAAGCCTGCTAGCCAAGGGTTTCTTTGTGTCTCTGTACATGATGCTAAGCCAAGTAGGAGAAGACAGCTGAGTAGCACTTTCCAAAAAGGTTGAACCTAGATCCAAGTAAGATACAGCCAAATTGTGGCCACACTGTGGGGCATTCTACAGTGCAGCTTCATGGATTCCTGTACCCCAGCTAGGACTGTACCCAATTTAAGGAGACTTGGTGGTTTACATGCAGTGTTTGATCCTTGACTCAGCCCTGGGAGAAAAGGGTCGTGAGTAGGACAGCTGGGAAAATGTGAATGGGAACTGTATGTTAGGTACTAGATTGCACTATAGTGAAGTTCCTTGAGTGGTTGTGGTATTGTGGCTATCTAAGACAATGTCTGTGTTCTTCAGAGACAAAGGCTGAAATGTTTATAGATAAAATCTAAATGATTCAGCAGAAAGTAAGATATGTGGGAGAAATGTGATTGAGATGGCAGGGTATCTGGATATTCATTTACTCCTTCTAACCTCCCTGTAGGATTGGAGATTTTTTCATATAACGTTGTGGCTCTTTCTAAGTGTGTATTGGCAACTCAAGTTCCCTGTGTGGCCCTCCCTCTCACAACTTCTCCTTAGATCACGCAGAACAGGCACTTCAGAACAACAGGGTGAACACACTCTTGAAGTATAATACCCAACTTTCTATTTTCCAGATTTTCTATGATACCATTGTACTATTTGAGTAATGGACAAATTGGGTCATGATAGATCACACCTTTAATTCTGGCACCGAGGAGACAGAGGCAGGGAGACCCTGAGTTGAAGGCCAAATTGGGCTATATAGTGAAACTCTGCCTCAAAACAAAATGAAACAACTCCAAAAAACTAACCAAATAAATAGTTAAACAAGTCTACTCTAAGTTCTTTTTTGGAACTTGACAGAGAATAATAGAAAGTTATTGAAACACAGGAAAGTGATGAGAAGCCAATGGTCCCTGATTTTAGGCTGAGCCTAAACCATGCTGAGGACTGAGCTGGGTCATTAGTGTACCTTGTGAGCCTCTGCCATACAAACTGTAGCACCTGGTTCTGGGTTTTTGTTTTGTTTTATTTTGTGTTTAGAGACAAAAATCTCTCTATGTAACCCAGGATGACTACTTGACATTCTTCTGCATTAGTTTCTTGAGTGCTAGGCCACTAAGCTCAGTTTAAGAACTTTTTTTTTCTTTTTCATACTGGGGATGGAACACGGGGCCATATCAGCCTTACAGTTGCAGAAGACAACATCAAGAAGGTTAGTAACATGTTCAAGATCACAGGTCTCACAGGTGTAAGGGCAGGATTTGAATAATGAATAAAATACACTTTACCCCAGTATTGTGTTGACAGGAATTCTGCAGACATCTGGTCTACCCGTGTCACAGGCTGTACAATGAGAAATTTGAAAGTCATCCATGTGGATAAATGCTGCTGGTTTACATGTCCACCCTGTGCTGTGAAGACTCACTCAGTGTTAGACAACACTGATTCTCAATAGGGTGACTGTCTGCAGTTCTTTTTTTTTTTTTTTTTTTTTTTTCCCTGAGACAGGGTTTCTCTGTGGCTTTGGAGGCTGTCCTGGAACTCGCTTGTTAGTCCAGGCTGGTCTCGAACTCACAGAGATCCGCCTGCCTTTGCCTCTGCCTCCCGAGTGCTGGGATTAAAGGCGTGCGCCACCAACGCCCGGCTTCTGTCTGCAGTTCTTGGGAAATGGAGCAAAGTTTAAAAAAGAAGCATTCATAAAACTCCGTAAATATGTATCTTTTATTTTTTAAAGTGTCTGTCTGCAGCTGCATGTGTGTGGGTGCACTGTAAGTGGAGGTTAGAGAAACTATCTGTCATTCATATGTGATGACTTATTTTTATTTTATATGTATGTGTGTCTGCATGTGTGTATGTGAACCACATGTGTGCCTGGTCCCTTCAGATTTCCTAGAACTGAAGTGACAAGCTGTTGTAAGCCACCGTGTCAGTGCTAGAAACCAAATCTGAGTCCTATGTAAGAATAGCAAGTAAGTGTAACTGTTGAGCCGTTTCTACAGCCCCCAGTTTATTTTTTGAATCAGCGTCTCATTGGCTTGTGCCTCACAGAGACTGCCCGGCCAGCAAACCCGAGATCTGCCTGTCTGTCCCCGTCCACACACACACACACACACACACAAGTGTGTGCCACCACATCCACCCTTTTCTTCTAACTTTTTATTCATGAAAAAGTCTATGTACAAAGCACATGTGGGGCTGGAGAGAGATGGCTCAGAGGTTAAGAGCACTGACTGCCCTTCCAAAGGTCCTGAGTTCAATTCCCAGCAACCACTTGGTGGCTCACGACCATCTGTAATGAGATCTGGTGCCCTCTTCTGGCCTGCTAGCAGAATACCATACACATAATAAATAAATAAATAAATAAATAAATAAATAAATAAATAAATAAATAAAGCATTGTGTGGCTGTATAGTGTGATGAATTTAATTAACCGAACAGACCCCATGGCCAACACTCAAGTCCAGACATAAGCTAGTCCTCCAGAGTCTCCGAGTCACCTAAGAGTCTCCGCACTGCTCTTCCCACTTGACTTTCCAGCACTCTGTCCTCTTCCTTTGTTGTCTACCATGCTTCTTTTTGATCTTACCAGCCTGTGATCTTAGACTGACTGTATGGACCAGGCAGTGGTGGCGGGCGCAC